TTAATGAAAGATCGAAATCTATGCTTTCATCTTCGGGACATAATTGATATAAATTAAGATTAGAATGGTGGACATTATTGTTAAAATATCGTTGCTACAAATCTCGATTAAATGATAATTCTGGTTGTTTCTGATAAGTGTTTTACTAAAAGTGAGATAACTTTTTTCTTAGAACGACGATAAGCCATAAAAAATTTTGGAAAGGGACTTTCCCTTATATTTACCAAAACACTAGATTATTAAAAGTAAATCGAAAGGCAAACAATATTTGAATACTATACACCATTTGGAAGGAATTTGGCAAATTTCCAAAAAAAAAAAAAAAAAAATAAATAAAATCCGTTAAAAATGCTGTTAAAATCTTAGCCGTTAATTTTGGAAATTTAGCCGTTATTTTAGGATCTATACGACGGCGTGGACCTGCATAGGTTGCTTCTGTCATAAGCCATTACAATATTGAAATGAGAATGTAGCTAAAATCATCAAATTACCGAATATAGGGAGGTACCTTTATATAGGGGCTATACGAAGACGTGGACTTGTACGGACAATTTTCGTTCAAAGGCTAAAATGCCAAAAACGAAATTTAAATGCCGAATTTGAAACATTTCCGGTGAATAATGTCGCTAAAATCACCAAAATACCGAAAATAGGGAGGTACTGATATATGGGGCCTATACGAAGACCTGGGCCTGCATAGACAATTTTCTGTCACAGACTGTAGTTCCCATTACGAGCTCTAAATACGTAATTAGAAGCAATTCCGGTGAATAATGTCGCTTAAATCACCAAAATCCCGAATATAGGCAGGTATCGTTATATGGGGGCTATACGAAGACCTGGACCTGCATAGACAATTTTCTGTCACAGACTGTAGTTCCCATTACGAGCTCTAAATATGTAATTTGAAACAATTCCGGTGAGGCTAAAATCATCAAAATACCGAATATAGGCAGGTACCGTTATATGGGGGCTACAAGAAGACGTGGACATGCACAGACAATTTTCTGTCATAGGCTAAAGTATCCACTGCGAACTTCAAATACCAAATTTGAAACAATTCCTGTGAATAATGCCGCTAAAATCATCGAAATACTAAATATAGGAATGTACCATTATATTGGGGCTATACCAAAATGTGGACGTGCACAGACAACTTTCTGTCATAGGCTATAGTATACATTACGAACTTCAAGTACCAAATTTGAAACAATTCCGGTGAATAATGTCGCTTAAATCACCAAAATACCGAAAATAGGGAGGTACCGTTATATGGAGGCTATACCAAAACGTGGACCTACATGGCACATTTTCAATGCCAAAGGTCCTGCAGACATAATATACATTTAAGTACAATTGTATCAACCTACTTTTTTCGTTCGGAAGCTAGAGTGATTTCCACAGACGGACGGACATCGCTGAATCAGCATAGAATTTTATGCTGATAAAGAATATACAGGGTGAGATAAAAAAAACTGCAACAAAGTCAAACGCCATAATTTTTACATTTTTTTTTTAATTTTATTGAATGAAAGCAAAAAATGTCGGAAATAGCTTAAAATTTTAGAATAAGTTTAGATTTGTTCGAATTGGTCACCTTTGGCACGAATTATGGTCTTCAAACGGCCAATGAAACCGTCACACGCTGCCCGAATGTTGCTCTGCGGTATTTTGGCCCATACCCAGCGAAACGCTTGCTTGAGGTGCTCGACACTTTGGTATTTTTTAGTGCCAACCTTGCTTTCCAAAATACTCCGGACACAATAGTCGAAAGGATTAGTATCTGGAGATTTTGGTGGCCATAGTGCGCTGAAAATGAAGCGAGGAACCTCATTTTGTAACCATTCTTGGGTGGCGCGTGCTGAGTGCGATGGTGCTGAGTCCAAGGTCTGCGGCCAATATGTTTGCGTGCCCAAGGCTTTAATACACCCTGCAGAATATTTTCGCGATTATATTCGGCATTTATTCTGGCACCACAATCGATTAATACGAGCGGAGAGCGACCATCGACTGTTATGGCAGCCCACACCATTGCCGGCGCTTGAGTTTTGGTAGCCAACCCAAGGTGCATATTTTCGGCTGACCTCTTTGGAAAGTAAACACGACCAAATTGCTGGACAACGAATATTTTCTCATCGGAGAAAACCAAATTCGGCAGTTCACCACTTTCGGCCAAGCGAAGCAACTCTTTAGCTCGTTTGAGTCTATTTTCTTCTGTTGCGGTGTAAGTTATTGCTCTTTTTGGAATGGCAATGGCTTTACCCCGAGCTCATTTTTCAGTATTTGCCGAATGGAATATTGCGAAAAGATTTATTCACATTTAAATGCTGGAGTGCTCTAACGATGGTTACTTGTGGTTTTCCAGCCAAATAAAAAAAAATCATACTATCACGCTTGAATTCCATTACGAATTACTTTTTTTCTGGAAAATTCTCACGAATATGCTTTTATACGCTTGTAAACAATGTGATGAGCTGTCACTGGAATAATTTTAACAGCTGTCGGACAAGTGGTTTAGTAATGACAGCAGTCTGAAGTTTGTAGTGGTTTTTTCATCTCTACCCTATGTGGTGGAGGTACCAGAAGAAATAGTCCGATCTCTATCATCTTTATAACATATCTTATGAAGGAGTGCGCCGATATATCCTATTTTCACAACAAATTTTGTGTTAATAGAAAAAATAGAATATGTGAAATATAAAGAGAACCTGATGCTGATTTCGGATTTTATAAACGTTTTGGTCATTCAAAACTTTGTCCATTTATGGGGTAGGCACCAGGTGGAATGCACTGATGTGTATCATATTTATAACAGATCTTGTGTTAATGGAAATAATGAGATGTGTCAACTCTGAAGGGAATCGGATGTTAATTTTGCGTTTTATGTGTTTCATGGATATTCAAAATGTTGTCCCTTTGTGGGGGATAACAGATACCAGAAAGAGTTGACAGATATATTCCATCTTCACATCAAATATTGGGTTAAACAAATTATTATTTCACATTTTATAAGAGTTATAATTATTCCAAATTTTGATCCTTTGTGGGGGAGGTATTTGATGGAGTGGACCGATACTGTCCATTTTTGCACCTAATCTAGCACTGATGCAAATATTAGGATTTGCAAAGTTGAAGCAAAATCGGATGATCCTTTCTCTTTCTGTGCAGTAAATAATTTTCTTTAAAATTTTTGACATTTTGTGGGGAGAGGAGGTATCAGAAGGAGTGGACCGGTGTTACCCATCTCCGAACTTCATCTAAGTTTGATAATAATATTACGATGTACCAAGTTTGGATCAAACCGGATACTCCACTCGAGAGTTATCGTGTGCACCAGGCCGACAGATGGATGAACGGATACCCCTAGATAAATTCCAAATATCCCGAAACGGATTTCGTCAAAGGAGACATAGGATCTAAATCCGTTTTTGCTTTGAGGCATATTTTGGCTGTTTCAAATGATATATACCCTCTATATATAATATATACCCTATATACACCTCCTTTAGCCATATGGCTGGGGGTATAAAAATCTTGTTCAAAACTCCGACGCATTTACCCAGCACATCAAGTTATCAAGTTTCAGATAAGATTGTTGTACCTTTCAGATTGTTGTACCTTTATTTATTTTTTTATTTAAACCCCAGTATGAAAAATTACAGGACTCCAGCCCTTTCTGATCGCTCTGTTCCAGTAGAAATATATTTAGTACACTTCCTTTACTCTGTACCAATGGCAAGATATGGAATACCCTTATTTATCCTTTTAGTACACTTGTTTGAGAATTTTGTCATATCTTAAAATGTCTAACTTCAAGGTGTCCCGGTCTGCATATATTTCAGTACATTTTGTACTTTTGGTACGTTTTTAATGTGATTTTCCATCAACCATTGTGCTATACAAATTTTTTTATTATATACAATCTTCAATCAAATATTTAGAGTTTGAACTCTTGCCGTTCGCTATATCGTACCAATCGTACCTTTCTAGTACTATTTGTTGGAAATCCAGCATTTTTTTATGGACTCCACACCAAAAGTGAACCTCACACCAAAACTCACATTTATAGGTGTACCCGTTTTGCTTATATCAATATTTGGAACGTATTAATATTCTTCTACCCTTTTTCGTACGATGTATTATTGGAAATTATATCATAAAATGCCACAAACATGCTCTATACCAAGGATAAAATACTAAGTAATTTTTAGTACTTTTTAATTTTGGTAAGAATTTCCCAAACCCCAGTTTTATTTTAACCGACCATATCCAATTTAAGATTTTTAAATCTTCCCATTTTTCTAATATCAATAAAAAGTAATCTTTTGTACTGTTGGGCATATTGTGCCCGTTTAGTACGTTTTCCACAAACCTCTTTTACCCAATAAATTTGTTTGATCTTGACAAACCTATGTACAAAAATTCAACGTTCTAGCTCCCATAGTTCGCTCAGTACCATTGGAAAAATGTTAGTCGTACGTTTTGGTACTTTTCGTACCTTTCTAGTTCGAATTTTCAAAAAACTCCAACTTATCCAGACTCAGCGTTCCCTAGGCTACGTTCATGCAAAAATTTCACGATAATAGCTTTAGCCGTTATTTCTACAGGCGTTGATAAATCAGACCGTCATCACATATGGCCTGCATCAAAATTGAAAAGTGCAATTTCTCAAATTTGACTGAAATACCAGGCGACCAGAAATGTAGAAAAAGTAGCAAGCAAACATAACTAAATGGAAAATTTGGGTCTGGCAATGCTGTAACTCAACATACATGTGAAAATCCAAAGCATACTTTTAGGCGCATGTAATTTTGGCTATCTTGCTAGGGTATTGCCAGGTGAACATACATGGCATTGCCAGATTCAATTTTTTTTGTAGTCCTTATGAAATTTCGAATAAAACCCAATTTTTTCCCAACATTTTTATATTTAAGTAAAATAACAAATATTTTATATTTTTTAAAAAGCCTTTATTTATATTTTTTACTATTTTTAAGGACAACATATTTTAAATATTTATGTTCCAGTATTGGTTTTTCATTAATTATAAAATCGATGTATTAAAAGCGCCATAATTTCAGTATACTATCAGAAGAGCCAATAGGTCGAAATACTAAACATATCGTTCGTTTTTAGAAATGTTGGAGGTTTCCAAATTACTTTATTCGCCGCGAATTTTTAGAGTTTTCGTCCAAATACACCTGAAAAGAAACAACATTTTTTGCGATTAGTATCAATGTATTAATAAACGGTTAAGAATATGTGTTTACTTTCAATGGAATTATGACAATTTTTTACATAAAAATCAAGGACATCAAAATGAGTCCTTGATTTTATTTGAATTATAAACTTTTTTATATCTATTTATCAGTTGAAACTTTGTACTTTGTATTATTTCTATCATACCTAAGTCTGGCGTGACCATGAAAATAATTGGTCCACTTCTCCCTCAAGAGTAACATGTGTAATCAACGAATTGTCCAAATTTCCTCAAACTTCACATAATAAAATCTTTTTGCCAAGTTTGGATTATGTGTGAAATTGGATCATAAATAAATAATCAAGATTTATAAAATCATAACTCTCCTAAATGGCGAAATGGGTTCAACATTTTGTCCAAAATTTCTATCGCAATTAGCTGGATTACGATGATCGATTCTATTCGATATCGGCTAGGGGAAGTACTACCCCTTTAACAGAGCTTGATTTAAAAAAAATATTTTTTTCTTAACCGCCAAGAAATATGTGGATTCTTACAATCTTTGATTTTTTAAATATTTCAGAGGAACTTCTTGGACAGAAATTGTAGATTTTTAAAACATTTTCCACATTTTCATTACCGGCAAGAAATAAGGATAAATATTTGTCAAAAACGTACTGGTAAAGTATTGTGTTTATAAGCATTTTCGGAGATTTTCATACAACATAAACATTGTGATTTTTTCGCAAAAATTTCAAGTATCTGAAATCGGAATTTTTAAACCCTCAGCTATATGGCTAGAGAGGGTATATATCATTTGATACAGTCAAACGTGCCTAGTCGAAATAACGGTTTTAGACCCTAGGTCACTTTGGACCAAATCCGCTTCAGAACATTTAGAGTCGTTCGAGCGATGTCCGTCCGTCTGTCTGTCTGGCTGGTTGCTGCGCACGATAACTCTCGGAGTATCCGATTTGATCCAAACTTGGTACATCGTCATATGTTTGTCAATAGATCGAGTTCGGAGATGGGCAATATCGGCCCAAATGTCGAAATGTTCAAAAAATATATTTTCTGCACAGAAAGAGAAAGGATGATCCGATTTTGCTCCAACTTTGCAAATCCAATGGACAATATAATTTTTATACCCTCCACCTTGGAAAGGAGGGTATATTAACTTTGTCATTCCGTTTGTAACATCCTTAAATATTCGTCTTAGACCCCATAAAGTGTATATATTCATAATCAGCATAAAATTCTAAGTCGATTTAACGATGTCTGTCTGTTCGTCTGTCTGTCTGTCCGTCTGTCTGTCTGTTGAAATCACGATACAGCCCACATTATTTGACGTAGAGCGCCAAAATTTAGCAGAGCTATTTGCATTGTGTCTAGGATGGTTGATATTGAAAATGAGATATATCGGTCCACGTTCTGGTATAGTCCCCATATAACGGTATCTCCCGATATTCGGTATTTTGACGATTTATGCCACATTTTTTCACGGATTTGTCTGGAAATTGGTATTTGTAGGTCATAACGGGTCCCTGAGTGTGTGGCAAAACATTGCATGTATAGGTCCACGTTGTGGTATAGCCCCCATATAACAGTACCTCCCGATATTCGGTATTTTAGTTTTTTTACCACATTTTTTCACGGATTTTTCTAAAAATTGGTATTTGTGGGTCATAATGGTTTCCAGCTCCGGTGGCGAAACATTGCATGTATGGGTCCATGATTTGGCATAGCCCCCATATAACGGTACCTCCCGATATTCGGTAATTTTATGATTTTTGCAACCTTTCTTCACGGATTTGTCTGAAAACTGGTATTTGTTGGTCATAATGGGTTCCAGCTCCGGTGGCGAAACATTGCATGTATGAGCCCATGTTTTGGTATAGCCCCCATATAACAGTACCTCCCCATATTCGGTATTTTTATGGTTTTTGCCACATTTTTTCACTGATTTGTCTAAAAATTGGTATTTGTGGGTCATAATGGGTCCTAGTTCGTGCAGCGAAACATTGTAATTATAGGTCCACGTTTTGGTGTAGCCCCCATATAACGGTACCTCCCGATATTCGGCATTTTAATGGTTTTTGCCACATTTCTTCTAATGTTTCTTTTACCCTAAGGTGGAGGGTATTAAAAGTTTGGCCCGGCCGAACTTTTTTACTTGTTTTACTTGTTAATAGTTTACAGAGAGCTAATTGACCAATAACGATGTATTTTGAAAATTATTTCTTTAAAGCTTTGCCATGAAGAATCGATGATATTTTAGAATTTAAAAACAATTAAAATAAAACATTATTTTTTTCAAGGGACTTCTTGGCCTGAAATCAAGAGCAAATGAAAATATTAAAAAATATAATGTCTATCTGTTAAAAATTTTTTTTTCAAACTCTGTTTTTAAAAATCATGGATTTTGTAATGAGTATTTTTAAGATTTGATGGCCAAAAATACTGATTTTTTAAAGAATTTTCCCAAAAACTGGATTAAAATTTCTTAATAATTGTTTAGGAATGCCCTGATTAGACATCATAATTTTCTTTTTCTTTATTTCGAACTTGTTGCGGTTAAGCATATGCGAATTAAACACCAGAAAACCTCCAAGTTCGACTCAAGTACTATTAACAGATCTTTTTCACAGCCAAGTTTTGGAAATAGTCATGTCCAAATTTTGTGTATACTTTAAGAAAATATTTACAAATTCATCCTGAAAAAAATTTTAAGTTATTAATTTTTTCAAGAATTTCCAGATCAAATGTATATCATTGATTGTCTTAAAATATGTTTCTAAAATGACATATAAGTCTTTAAAATTTTTAAAATCTGGTATTTTTTTCATAGATGTTTTTTTTTAAGTATTCATGCAAATAAGATGTCCATCATTGAAAAAATTATGTCGAAGGCATCATGGCCCTTATCGTGGACAAGAATTTCCTGACCAAAAATGATTTATTTTTTTTTTTAAATCTTTTTAATGTCCCGGTAACAATCGTAATTTTTTGTCTCATGGTTTCAGAGGGTAGATATAATTTAATACGGCCAGGTACCAGGAGAAGTGGACCGATATTGCCCATCTCCGAACTTGATCTATGTTTGATAATAAATTACGTTGTACCATGTTTGGAAAAAATCTCTTAGGGAGTTATCGTGGGTTCCAGCCCGACAGACGGACGGATCGACTCAAAATGTTCTGAAATGGATATGGTCCAAAGAGACCTAGGGTCTAAAACAGTTATTTCGACTAGACACCCTCTCTAGCCCTATGGCTGAGGGTGTAATGAGGGTTTAGAACAAAAACTAATTATTAATTTTTAAAAAAGTTGCTCAGTCTATTAAAGTTGTTTGTTTTTTATTTTTGTATCCGCAGCATTATGGTTACGGAGATATCATTTGATACGGCCTAAATTTGCCTTATCGAAAAAACAGATTTATACCCTTGGTATCTTTAAAAAAAATCCTGTTTAGGACATTTGCAGTCGATCCAGTTGTGTCCGTCCAAACATAGGTCGGGTTCGGAGATGGTCAATATCGGTGCTGTTTCTTTTAACTCGCCGACAAAAGGTCAAAATTTCGAATTATAATAACTCTTGTAGTATGTCAAATCGATGTCTGATTTTCTTCGAACTTAGCATATTCCAACAAATGTGAAAGTCGAATGCATCAATTTTTTTATAACGAATTTTAAAATTTATAAAAAATTCAAAATTTAAAAAAAATAGATGGAGACCTTGATTGTTGACAATTATCGATCCACCAAAAGAAAATCCGAAATATTTTTAAAGAATGTCACCTCCGATCAATCAAATGTACATTTTTGAAATATTCCAAAAATATCACACACGTACACTCTCACACACACTTGCACAAATGCAAATTAGCAATTTTGTAACAAAAATTCATTTCAACAGCATTTTTCACATTTTTTTCTCCCGCCAGAATTTATTAGAATGCTGGCAAAAAATATTGAATAATTACTTATTCATCGATATGTAATGACGATATGAAAACTGATTGACAATTATATGGATGGAATGTTCTTGTGTCAAGTAGAGTATATCGCCCATTTTTATACCCTCCACCTTGGAAAGGAGGGTATATTAACTTTGTCATTCCGTTTGTAACATCCTTAAATATTCGTCTTAGACCCCATAAAGTATATATATTCATAATCAGCATAAAATTCTAAGTCGATTTAACGATGTCCGTCTGTCTGTCTGTCTGTCTGTCTGTCTGTCCGTCTGTCTGTCTGTTGAAATCACGATACAGCCCACATTATTTGACGTAGAGCTCCAAAATTTAGCAGAGCTATTTGCATTGTGTCTAGGATGGTTGGTATTGAAAATGAGATATATCGGTCCACGTTCTGGTATAGTCCCCATATAACGGTACCTCCCGATATTCGGTATTTTGATGATTTATGCCACGTTTTTTCACGGATTTGTCTTAAAATTGGTATTTGTAGGTCATAGCAGGTCCTTGAGCGTGTGGCAAAACATTGCATGTATGGGTCCAAAATTTGGTATAGCCCCCATATAACGGTACCTCCAGATATCCGGTAATTTGATGATTTTTGCAACATTTTTTCACGGATTTGTCTGAAAATCGGTATTTGTTGGTCATAATGGGTTCCAGCTCCGGTGGCGAAACATTGCATGTATGGGTCCATGATTTGGTATAGCCCTCATATAACGGTACCTCCCGATATTCGGTATTTTGGTGGTTTTTGCCACATTTTTTCACTGATTTGCCTAAAAATTGGTATTTGTGGGTCATAATGGGTCCTAGTTCGTGTGGCGAAACATTGTAATTATAGGTCCACGTTTTGGTATAGCCCCCATATAACGGGACCTCCCGATATTCGGTAATTTGATGATTTTTGCCACATTTTTTCACGGATTTGTCTGAAATTTGGTATTTGTTGGTCATAATTGGTTCCAGCTTCGGTAGCGAAACATTGCATGCATGGGTCCATTATTTGATATAGCCCCCATATAAAGGTACCTCCCGATATTCGGTATTTTGATGGTTTTTGCCACATTTTTTCACTGATTTGTCTAAAAATTGGTATTTGTGGGCCATAATGGGTCCTAGTTCGTGTGGCGAAACATTGTAATTATAGGTCCACGTTTTGGTGTAGCCCCCATATTACGGTACCTCCCCATAATCGGCATTTTAATGGTTTTTGCCACATTTCTTCTAATGTTTCTTTTACCCTAAGGTGGAGGGTATTAAAAGTTTGGCCCGGCCGAACTTAATGTTTTTTTACTTGTTGTTATTGTTGTTGTTATCTTAAACTTTTACACACACACACGGAAACACACATTCATTCATCCATGCTTTGGGCAAATGTGGCCTCCTCACAGTATCACTACTACTCACGCTCCTCCCGGCGGCAATGAAAGCCAAACGACAACTGTGAACAGTCGATGATGATGGCTGATGATGCTGTTGCTGGCTGCTGCTGGCTGCTGAAGGCAATGCGTTTTGGCGTTAAGCGCTTTTGCCAAACTCACCATATTTTAGCATCGGAAATTGTTCCATGTTTTCACCCAAATTCCCCTCACGAAAGGCCAGAAGGCAGGAAGACGACAAGCCAGGGCACACACAAGCAGGCAATCCACGAAGCAAGCAGCCAACCAAGTAGCCAGGCAGCCTGCCAACCAGCCAGCCAGCCAGCCACCCGTCCATGTTCATGTTCATGTTCATGTCAATTGTGAATTACTTTGTAATCATTTCTTCCACTCGACACTCAGTCATCAGAAGCAAATCGAACAACATCGAAAGCAAGGACCTTGTACTTCAAGGAAAAAACAATAAACCAAACCGAATCGAAACCGAACAAATCGAAAAGTGCTTAAGAATTTTAACCGGATTTTTTTCCGATTTTAAACTAATTTTTTTATCAGAGTTTTACAACAACAGAAAATAATTTTTAAAATAATTAATAAAATTAAGAAAATTGTGGTGAAAAAAAAGAAATCCGGCAACAAGGAATAACGTGATCCTTGCCAAGAAAATAATAAATCAAAGAAAATTTTTGATGTGAGTGTATGTGTGTGTGTGTGTAAGTGCGAATTCCAGATCCATTTGTCATGCCGCCGAAGGAGTTTTCTTGTCTTGCGGGTCATTGAGGTAGGTCGCTACCGAAAAGTGTCTAAATCCATAAAAAATGGAAATGTGTGATGATGTGAGTGAGTGACGGACTAACTGACTGATGATTGTGACATTAAAGTGAACAAGTGATGGTGTCGTGTCGTTGTTAATGTGGATTTGTGGTAGTCAACAAAAAAATGTGACCGTCATTCCAGGACATTAATGGTTTTTTATACCCTCCACCATAGTATGGAGGGTATATTAAGTTTGTCATTCCGTTTGTAACACCTCGAAATATACATTCTAGACCCCACTGCTGATCAAGAATATATACACTTTATATTCTTGATAAGCATAAAATTCTATGGCGATTTAGCGATGTCCGTCCGTCTACCCGTCTGTCCGTCTGTGGAAATCACTCTAGCTTCCGAACGAAAAAAAGTAGATTGATAAAATTTTACTCAAATGTATGTTATATCTGCAGGATTTTTGGTATTGCAAATGGGCCATGTAGGTCCACGTTTTGGTATAGCCCCCATATAACGGTACCTCCCGATATTCGGTATTATGATTTTTGCGACATTATTCACCGGAATTGTTTCAAATTTGGTATTTCAAGTTCGTAATAGATACTACAGCTTAAGACAGAAAATTGTCTGTGCAGGTCCACGTCTTTGTATAGCCACCATACAACGGTATCTCCCTATATTCGGTATTTTGATGATTTTAGCGCATTATTCACCGGAATTGTTTCAAATTTGGTATTTGAAGTTCGTAATGGGAACTACAGGCTGTGACAGAAAATTATCTGTGCAAGTCCAGGTCTTCGTATAGGCCCCCATATAACGGTACCTCCCTATATTCGGTATTTTGATGATTTTAGCGACAATATTTACCGAAATTCTTTCAAATTTGCTATTTGAGGTTCGTATTGGGAACTACAGGCTGTGACAGAAAATTGTCTATGCTGGTCCAGGTCTTCGCACAGCTCCGATATAACTGTACCTCCCCCTAAATACGATATTTTGATTATTTTAGCTACATTATTCACCGTTTATTTCAAGTTTCGAATTTGAATATGGCAATGGCTTATGACAAACAATGCCTATGTCGGTCCATGTCGTATAGACCCCATTATAATGGCTATATTCGGTATTTTTAAAAATGTTAACAGAATTTGTGGCGAATTTTATTTTTTCGAAAATTTTCAAATACGTTCCAAATGGTGGAGGGTATTCAAAATTCGGTCCGGCCGAACTTACAGATTTTTTACTTGTTGTTTTTGGCTTTTCCCAGAGATGCTAAGTCATGCTGTGTGTATATGTGTGTGACTGTGTGTGTGTGCTCTCTTTATTAGCCACAAATCGCAAAGAAATACCAAAGCTTAAATGATGTTAATATTTATCCTTTACAAGTGGATTTCCTACTATTTCCGGGCCCAATAAGAAATGCCACAGCAAAGGTTTTCTTTCTGCTTTTATGCCATGGCAGATGAAAACGAAGATGTTGAGGGGAGCGATGTACACGTAATGAAGCGATACCCGGGTATTTAGCAACGATCAGCTTAATTAACATAATTGACTATGAAGCGCATAATGTTGGAGCTAAAGACCGAACAAAACAAATTGTGGCTTGTCATTGTTAAGGAAAACTAATTTTTGTTTTTTTTTTTTTTTTTTTTTTTGGTCAAAGGACCTTTTATGAAATTTTGGATGGTGTTTTTGTTTGAGAATGCCCAACCATTACCCCTCCCCCAACACCAATATTTTATTTACTGCTGTTGTATTGTTTCGCTATGTGTGTGTGTATGCATGTGCCCACATTGGGGGTGTGTCTTGTTCGACTATTGGCAATATGTTGGCTAGAACAACAATATCAACACCAACAACAAACGACCAATATATGTACGGCCAAATGATAGTCATAAATTTCGAAAAAAAAACACCTTAAAAACGGCTACCTTTTTATTCAACGTTTTATTGTTGTTTTAATATTTAATAAGTTCAGGCTTTTTTATGCGAAGTGGTATTTTGCGGTCGGTTGGTCGGCGTACCGCAAAAAAAGGGTAATCTCAATACCAGGTCCATTTTGTAAATTAAAATGCCCAGCATCGAATCGAAATTTATTTCAAGCGCGTTTTTCAAAATGCTTTTATCGGAATTAACTATTTCAGGGAATCATTTTTTAAGGATTTTTTTGGGATCTCTGTCTTATCTTTTTAAAATATAAAAGATTTTATTCAGGATTTTATGGAATATTTGCAGAGCTAAAACAAGAATTTTTAAAATCGCTTTGAAGGAATTATTTTCCTCATTTGAATTTTTTTAAGAATATCAGAAGCTATAATCATGGATTCGTAAGGAATCCTTTTGGAAATACATTAAAATTAGATTCTTTAATTATTTAAGAATGCTGTTTAAAATAAATCAGAGCTACTGATTAATTAATTTTGCAAGGATTTGTGGATATCTTTTTCAATTTTACAAGAACTGTTTATTAAGGCTTTTCGAAGTTTAGATCATAATTATTTTATGAACATTTTTCGAAACTCAAGATAATTTATATTGTAGTTTTTTTAATAAAATATTTTTTAACTAAAACCTAACTAAAGGCCATCCTGAACCCTGGGATTCAAATAATATATTTTCAAGAGCTAACAGAGTTTTATAAATATTTTTAAATAACTTTTCAGAGCAAACAAGTAAATAAGCTGTAAGTTTCGGAACGAATTTGTGGATATGCACAGACAATTCTCTGTCATAGACTGTAGTATCCATTACGAATTTCAAATACCAAATTTGAAAAAATTCCGGTGAATAATTTTGCTAAAATCATTTAAATACGGAATATCGGGAGGTGCTGTTATATGGGGGCTATACGAAGACGTGGACCTTCACGGACAATTTTCTAACACAAGCTGTAGTTTCTATTACGAATTTCAAATACCAAATTTGAAACATTTCCGATGAATAAAGTCGTTTAAATTACCAAAATACCGAAAATGGGGAGGTACCGTTACATGGGGCTATACAAAAACGTGGACCTACATGGCGCATTTTCAATACCAAAAGTCCTGCAAACATAATATATATTTGAGTAAAATTTTATCAACCTACTTCAGTTTGTTCGAAGGCTAAAGTGATTTCCACAGACAGACATCGCTAAATCGACATAGAATTTTATGCTGATCAAGAATACTTTGTGGGGTCTAAAGTGTATATTTCGAGTTGTTACAAATGGAATGACAAACTTAATATACGCTCCATACTATGGTGGAGGGCCGACCATGTGACCCTACAACACTATCATACGTTGAAGGCCCCTTATGTCCAAATTCATTTTGAAAGATTTCGTTTTTGAAATAATTTGTTCTATGACATGATCAGATGTTATACTTAGGTTTTTGATCGGAGGCATTTGCCCAATAATTAGGCACTCCGTCGTGTTGTTAGGTATTTAAAACAATTTCACTCGAAAGTTGTGGTCCATTTTACAGCTAACTATAATCCAATTGTTATCCAAAAGACTAGACTTCTTCCCTGTCCGTAACTCTCTTTTCATGCAAAAATTCCGCGTAGATTTGTTTAAATTGTGACTTTTAGATCGACTGCAAAATCAGGAAAATTTTATTTATTTATCTTTATATTATTTTTATTTATTTTTTTGGTTCATTTAAACCCCTAATTGCAAATCTACATAACAATAAGCTTTAACACCAACATTAACATTACCCCAATTCAAAATTTCGTGAGGATCTGGCGATAATTGGGACCTGTATACAGGATGAGATAACAAAACTATAACAAAGTCAAACGCCATAATTTTTACATTTTTTAAATTTTATTGAATGAAAGCAAAAAATGTCGGAATAACTTCAAATTTTAGAAAAAGTTTAGATTTGATCGAATTGGTCACCTTTGGCACGAATTATGGACTTAAACGGCCAATGAAACCGTCACACGCTGCCCGAACATTGCTCTGCGGTATCTTGGTCCATTCCCGGCGAAGCGCTTGTTTGAGGTGATCGACACTTTGATATTTTTTAGTGCCAACCTTGCTTTCCAAAATACTCCAGACACAATAGTCCAACGGACTGATATCCGGAGATTTTGGTGGCCATTATGCGTTGGAAATGAAGCGAGGAACCTCATTTTGCAACCATTCTTGGGTGGCGTGTCTATTTTCTTTCTGTTGTGGTGTAAGTTCTTGCACTTTTTGGAATTTCAATGGCTTTACTCCGAGCTCATTTTTCAATATTTGCCGAATGGCTTTCGAAGCAAAAATCAAAGTTTTGTAATATTATTTTTAGAAGGATAGTAGGCTCCAAATATGAATGTTGTTGGGAAAATTGTTCTGAAGGGATATTTTTGTATATAGATGTTATA